AAATAAAAATAAAAAGTGTCTCTGTTGTAGATAGTAAATGAAGTATACAATACATACAACACCAATATACAATAAAAAATACAATATACATACGTCCAAAAAGTAAGTTTACTTTGCTTAATAGAAAGTTAATAGGTATAGTACTTACCAAATGCATTTTTTTTTCTCCATCGCCATTGTTCTCTAAATCCGGATTGAGTGCTAAACATACTTCTTCCCAGGCTTGCCTTGTTGCATTTCTATCCTTATAAATTTCTAAAGTTTTGTCCCATATCACAGGTTTTGCTTCAACTAGAGATATTAACACTTCAGCGTCAACACCTTCCATAATTTGCAAACAAACCATCAAAACTGAACGCGGTAGAAACAATACTGAGGACAGTTCCCGTACGACTAAAGACCGTCTAGTGTGAAAGCGTACATTTGGTCACGTAGGCCACTGAGCTAGAGGGCGATACGGTAGCCGTGCGGTTCTAGTAGCACTGGACGGCTGCAACACGATTACAAAACGTGCCCGTGTTCTAATCGTGCAATGTGAAAGGTCTCGTACTCTTCAACAGTCGATCAAGAAAAATTGCCCGGGCGATTTTTTCCCACACGAGCGAAATCGCATAATATGAAAGGAGCATTACTCTTTCTCAACAGAGACACCGTCGATTTCCACGTTTAATAGAAATACGATGCGGTTACCAACAGTTGTTAAAGTCAGTGATAGATACGGTTTATCGATGCGATCTGCTGCTGCTGTTGCTTCTGCCGTTTTGATTGACGTGGGTTTGGTTTCTACCGAAGATCTGACACTGGTTATTGATAAAAACAAAATTCACAGAGCTGTATGTAAAGCTCGAAGAGATGCTTTAAAATATATTGCAGGTATTGTTGCAAATAGCATTTACTTTGATGAACGAAAGGACAAGACCCTGATAAATGAGAAAATAGGGAATCGTTACCATCGCAAAGAGATTTTGGAAGGATACATCTCATTGTTATCAGAACTCGGATCAATTTATTTGGGACATACAACGCTTAGTCGTGTCACTGCAAATGGAATTTTTACTTAGATCACAACTTTTTTTGAGAGTCAAAGTTTGAATTTAGATGAGTAATTTGGTTTGGATGTGATGGAACTGCAACTAATATTGGCTGGAAGGGTAGTGTGATTCAATATTTAGAGGAGCATTTGGAAAGACCGTTACAATGGTGCGTTTGTTTGCTTTATGCCAATGAGTTACCGTTTCGTCACTTGTTCCTGACCATAGATGGTTTTACTTCGGGTCCTAGAGAATACTCCGGACCTATTGAAAAACAGTTAGTTGCTTATGAAAATAAACCCACCGTGACTTTTTCTGCTGTGAATGGTAATTTGCCTGACTTGCCAAAAAATGTGGTCAATAAATTATGTACATACAGTGCGTTAAGTTTTTGATTAGGTATTGCACACTATACGGAGCGCTAAAATCGGCAACGTTGCAAATGTTCGTTCTCCGACCCGAGACTAATGCACCGACAGAAAATCATTTATTTTAATTTAATAACTCACAACAACGTTTGGGATGTACTTCTCTGTCGTCCGATCTCATGTTTCATTACGTATAGCCGATTTTAATAGTAGGAAATTCGATAAAAATGCACTGACCTAATCGGTTCATTGTTATCGATTTTTATTAATGTGAAAATTTTTTTGTGGTTGAATTAAAAATAAAAGCGTATTTCTTTAAAAAGATAAAATAAAAAATATACTCTTATTGAAAATTAAAATATTATTCCTAATAAAATAAAAAATAATTCTTTATGACCTACAGAAATGGTTCAAATAGTTGACCTTCTACGGCTGAACAGTACCCCAATCTGTCATAAAAACTTCTGCGAACAGATGAAAGAGTTTCTGCTGTAACAGAATTGGAGACTTCTCTTATTCGATTTTTTAATTCATCCAAATTTTGGGCTCTAGCCTCAGGATGAGCGTAGATAATGCTTTTTAAATGTCCCCAAAAAAAGAAGTCCATCGGTGTAAGATCTGGAGATCGCGCAGGCCACTTAATATCGCCTGTTCCACTGATAACTCGATTCGGGAAAGTATTGTTTAAATACTCTCTAATAATTCGAGCGTTGTGAACTGAACAGCCGTCTTGATGAAACCAAACATTCTCCAGATTTACATCAGGAAGATTGAGAATAGCGGGAGGAACATGATTCTGTAACAAATCGAGGTATACTCTACTATTCAAGTTGCCCTCAATAAAAATGGACCTATTATGTGGTCTCCTAAAATGCCAGTCCAGACGTTAACTTTTTGAGGACGTTGAGTTCAGTAAACAACACTTCTGTGCTGATTTTCCCGCGCCCAATACCTCGTAATGGAAGGAATGTGTCTCCCTACTAACGAAACAGAAGATTCATCAGTGAATAAAATGTTTTTAATAAAATTTGGTTCACTATTAGCCTTCGTTATTAGAGTTTCACAAAACTCCATTTTTCGAAAGTAATCGTCTGGATAAAGCTGCTGCGTTTTCGAATATTTAAAATTCTTGTAACCGTGCTTTTCCATACTTTCGTTACAGTAACATTGCTAACATCTAACTCTCTAGCAACTCTTCTACTTGAACGTGTTGAATCTACCTCGATTGTTGCACAAATTTGTGTATCCCGGTATTCTCTTTCCTCAGCTTTTTCTGGTAACACTTCTTGAGCGTGACATTTTCTGCAATTTTTGAGGCAATAACAACTCTCAAAATTTTTAACAATATTATAAACTGACTGTATACAAGGAATTGGTCTTCCCTCAAAAAACACAGAAAATAAATCTACACACTGTTGCACAGAATTGCCACTATAAAACCATTTTATTATTTGAGCTTTTTCCGCGGCGATATAAACAGACATGTTTACAAATATAAATTAAAACTCTACGCTGTTATACCTTTAAACAACCAGGGTATAATGACAATATGACAAATTTGCCGACGGGCGACGAGCACCGACGAGTCAACGAAGCAGATATGTAGTGCAAGTCGACGACGCGCAGTGTTGCCATTTAAAGAGTGTATACCTAATCCAAAACTTAACGCACTGTATCAAAAATATCTATACAAAATATGTCAAGCAGTATTAACCGGTTTCTGTACTAATGAATTGGCAAACCGTCAACCTGGAAAAATTGCGCACTCCAGATGGCTTACTACTGCTAATCGTCTACTCAGACTTTATGTAAGTACGCTTAATCCATCAGAAAATTTTCAATTGCTTGTAAACTATGTTGTTAAAGTATATGCTCCGATGTGGTTCAGAATTAAGCAAAAAGCGTCTTTTAAGGATGGAGCGAGGCATATTTTTCAACTAATTACTCTGGATTTCTACCCGAAAATCTAAGATCTGTTGTGGATAGCGTTATCGAAAGAAATGTACCTTCTTCTTCTTGTAGTGCCTATCCGTTTCGGATGTTGGCGACCATCATGGCAATCTGCACTTTGCACACTGCTGCTCTAAAAAGATTTGTGGTTGTGAACCACGTTCGTAGATTTTCAGCCAGGAAATCCTTCGCCTTCCTGGTCTCCGTTTTCCTTCTACTTTTCCCTGCAAGATTAGTTGCAGCAGTCCATATCTTTCTCTGTTCCTCATGATGTGACTGAGCTATTCGATTTTGGCTGTTTTTATTGTGGTTAACAGCTCTTTTTCTTTTTTCATTCTCAACAGAACACCCTCATTAGTAACGTGGTCGGTATACGATATCTTCAGGATGCGACGATAAAGACACATTTCAAAAGCCTCAATTTTCTTGCAGGTGGCGTCTGAGAGAGTCCATGACTCAACTCCGTACAACAGTATAGGAAAGATGTAACATCGTAGTAACCTGATTTTTATGGGCATTGATAAATCATGACATTTGAATAACAGCCATTTTTTGATATGCAGATCTTGCTTTCTATATTCTACATTTGATTTCTATGGAATGGTCCCAATTTTCATTGACGTTCGTATCAAGGTAGGCGTATGTTTTTACTCTTTCTATTTGTTGACCGTTTACACTGATTTGTCCAAATTGCTGTTCCTTCTTAGAGATCATCATGCATTTTGTTTTCTTAGTGTTTAGTGAAAGTCCGTATCTCTGACTGACCTCTGTGATTCTGTTTATTAACTCCTGGAGGGTTTCAGAACTGTCAGCGAATACTACCGTGTCGTCCGCGTATCTAATGTTATTGATAGATTCTCCGTTGATTCGAATTCCGGCTTCAACATCACCCACTGCTTCTTGAAAGATTTCCTCAGAGTATATGTATATGAAACAACAGTAGTGATAGTATACATCCCTGACGGACGCCACGTTTGGTTTTGATATCGTCGGATTCTCCTGCCTCTGTCCGGATAGATGATATTTGATTCCAGTAGAGATTGCTGACAATTCTTAAATCACAGGTGTTTATTCCAATATTGGTTAATATCTCCATCAGCTTGTCGTGCTTTACTGTATCGAACGCTTTATGGTAGTCAATGAAGCACGCATAAATGTCGCAGTTCACGTCTCTACATCGTTGAAATAGCACTTGTATACTAAAGAGAGCCTCTCTCGTACCCACTGCATTCCGAAAACCAAACTGTGTACGGCTGATTTTTCTTCGCACAGTCTATATATCCTTTGATGTATGATTTTTAGAAATAATTTTAAAATATGACTCATTAAGCTGATGGTTCGGAAATCACTGCAGGATACGGATTTTGTTTTCTTTGGCAAAGCAATAAAGGTCGACTTCAGCCATGTTCTTGGTATTACTCCGCTTAAATATATGTCAATAAATACTTTTGTTAGGTGTTGAATACCGTCGGTGTTATAGTATTATGAGCTCAGCATATGCATTGTCAGGTCCAGGAGCTTTGCCATCTTTTAGTTGTGATATGGCTTTTTGCACTTCATCTGATGTGATTGGTAAGTGGTCATCACATATGTAGGATAGAACATATGTGATTTTTGCCTTTTTGCCCACCCAGAATAATTACTTGTGAGTATGATGTTTGATGATAGAGATCATATTATGGAGCTGGCATGGCGAAGAATAAAAAAAGCTAGAGACACAGAAAGTAGCGATAAATGCAGAATATTTAAAACACCAAAAATTAACTTCTCTGCTAAAGAGTACACCGATATTATTATGTTGCACGAATGTCAGGATTGTCAGGTTACAACACCGCCGGTTCTTCGGCATATTTTTACTGAAGACCTTCACATCATGGTAAAAGATAAAAGCTTGGATATATTTGACCTTCCCTGCCACACACAATCTGTGGAAAGATGTGTTAAACTGATTACAGAGATCTCGCAGAATCTAACTGATGATACTTCTAGAGATAGCTTTATCAGAACCAGATTGGAGTTTAGGACAGAAATGCAAAATTTGGGACTTAAAAATAAGTTCAAATTTTAAGCTTTTGTCATCAAATATAGGATCTATTTGGTTTGTTAAGTTGTTTTGAACCTTTTTGATTAATTTTAATAATAAAATATATTATATAAATAATAAAATATATAGATTTAATTTGTGTATTATTTGAAGTATATGATTTAGGTCTGTACCGGGTGGTCCAATAAGCCGATTGCTTAACTATATATCAGAAACTATTCATGTTATAACTTGGGGAGAAAAAATTCCTTAGTAAAAGTGACCAAAAGAAATCGCTGGAAATAACTTTTAAGTTTCTGGGTTAACCGCTAGGGGGCGTAACCTGTGAAGAAAAATTTGAAAACCAGTTTTTTGTAAAATATGCCCAATTATACCAAGTGTTAAATAAGTGAACTAGAAAGAGGGCTAAATTCCGCACAAAGTTGTTCAAGTACTTTTTTTTATTTTTTTCAAATAAAGGGTGGATGAGGGTGGCAAAGTATTTGTGGATAAATACCTATAACTTTGGTTTGGATCAACAGATTTTAACGAAATTAGTGTCATTAGAAAGAGTGTGGATAATTTAATCTACATCTACTATAAAACAATTGCATTTAATCTTAATTGTCATGGGTAGAGGGTACTTTCAAATAGAAAAAATTAAAATTTGTTTTTCTTTAAAATGTTTAATGGAAACACCTATTTATTGTTAATTATAACTGAACTGGATTAAATTCGTAACAAAATGGCACAAACCGCATGTTGATAGCTTTTGTCAAACTCGAGATATGAATAAAAACGCATAAACATAAGTATAGTATTGACTCACCCTTTATTATAACTTAAAATTAAATATGTGAAATATCTCGATCATTAAAACTTAATGTCCAATTAAATGTTCAAATTGTTTTCCATCGTTGAACACACAAAGATGTAATCTTTCGCGCGTAGACATAACAGCTGCTTCAATCTCAGCTGTTGATATATTATTTATTGCGTTTATAATGCGCTGTTTCATGTCATCTCGTGTGGTTGGTCGAGTTTGGTACACTAAGTCCTTCAATCTTCCCCACAGATAAAAGTCCAGACATGTTAAGTCTGGAGATCTAGCTGGCCATGAAAATATACTTCCCCTTCCAATCCATTTATTTGGATAACTTGCATACAAATAATCTCGAACTCGTCTGGAAAAGTGCGCAGGACACCCGTCATGTTGTAGTATCATATCTCTTCTTGTTTGTAAGGAAATATCTTCCAATAAAACAGGCAACTAAATTTCCAGAAAATTCAAATATGTTTCGCCATTTAAAGTTCTATCAAAGAAATATGGACCTACGATCTTTCCATCAACTATACCACACCAAACATTAAGCATCTACCTTGAACCTGCATCTCATGTATCCAGTGCGGATTTTCTTCAGCCCAATAATGCATATTATGCAGATTAACACCATCCGCACTATTAAACGTAGCCTCGTCTGTCCACAAAATCTTTGACAGGATATCCGGTTGTTCTTCTAGTAGACCTAACATCCAATTGCAGTAATCCAGCCTTGCATCAAAATCTCTCTCATGTAAAGCTTGGTGGAGAACTACATGATAAGGATGCAGTCTAAAAAACAGAACAACAAATATTGGTGAAAAAGAAACCACTACATTTACTAAAACTCAAAAATCTTAAAAAATCCAAAATTGTTTCACAAGATAAATCGTGCATAAGTATTTTTAGGAAACGGATAAAAGCGCCGTGTTGCCGTTTTTATCGGAATATTAAAATAACAGCTGAATCTAAAGTTTAAAGGGAATTCCAAGTTTCTGACGTAAACGTTCACTTTATAATATGAAAAACCAACCTGTAATGTTTTAAAATCCTTAGAACAGCAGTTTTGGGTATGTTTAATTCTATAGAGATTTGCCGACTACTTATATGTGGATTCTGTTGAATTAAAGCAAGAACATTGATTGAATTATCTTCGGTCATACCTCTACTACGTCGTTTAAAACAAGGACGATGAAAACTACCAGTTTCTCTTAATCTTCTTGCCTTTCTTTCAAATAATTCTTTGCCATAATGTCTCCTGTCAGGATATCTTACAGAATATATACGTGAGGCAATAGCGGCATTTTGGTGACATTCGAAATAAACTCCAATCATATCATACAATTCTGCATTGGATATACTCATCCTGAATTATTAGTACTCATAATTAATTACTAATATTACAAATATTAATATCTATTGAAAAAGTGCAATCTTCAATTTGAATTATAATATAACACTTCTTAACAACTACTACTTAGTTTCGAAAAAACTATTTTTAATCATCTGAAATAATAATGGTCAAAATGGATATCAATATTAAGATTCTTCTGCTATAAAAAAATTTGAAAATACCTACTGACTTATTTTTTAATTTAATTTATAATACAGGGTGAGTCAATACTATAGGCACTTATGTTTATGCGTTTTTATTCATATCTCGAGTTTGACAAAAGCTATCAACATGCGGTTTGTGCCATTTTGTTACGAATTTAATCCAGTTCAGTTATAATTAACAATAAATAGGTGTTTCCATTAAACATTTTAAAGAAAAACAAATTTTAATTTTTTCTATTTGAAAGTACCCTCTACCCATGACAATTAAGATTAAATGCAATTGTTTTATAGTAGATGTAGATTAAATTATCCACACTCTTTCTAATGACACTAATTTCGTTAAAATCTGTTGATCCAAACCAAAGTTATAGGTATTTATCCACAAATACTTTGCCACCCTCATCCACCCTTTATTTGAAAAAATAAAAAAAAGTACTTGAACAACTTTGTGCGGAATTTAGCCCTCTTTCTAGTTCACTTATTTAACACTTGGTATAATTGGGCATATTTTACAAAAAACTGGTTTTCAAATTTTTCTTCACAGGTTACGCCCCCTAGCGGTTAACCCAGAAACTTAAAAGTTATTTCCAGCGATTTCTTTTGGTCACTTTTACTAAGGAATTTTTTCTCCCCAAGTTATAACATGAATAGTTTCTGATATATAGCCGAGCGGTCGGCTTATTGGACCACCGGTACAAACGTAAAATTTACAAAACTTTAAAGTCTAGTAGAGCCCTGAAAGTGACATTCTGTCGTATTTATTTTACATTTTTCGTAGTATCTTGAAAATTACGCAAATTTGGATACCTCTTGCGATAGTGTAGCTCAAAAAAAATTTTTATGCAAAGATGGGGACACTCTAATATACACCCTTCCCAAATCAATAATATAGATTTTACAGAACTGAACTAGAAGTTTCGAAAATGCTTCACATATATTAAACTCATTTCGAAGACATCAACCTTTATTACTAAAATTACAAATATTTTTTATATTTCAGTCCGGAATTCGTCGCAAAAGAGGCCGTTAAAATAATAAAGTATGCGAGTAATGGAACCTTATGGGTTGTAGAATATAGTGAACCTGCCTATCAATACATATTTCCCGAAAGAGACACTTTTAAAAACAATAAAATTGTGGAAAAATAACATAATTTATTTTTCATTGTTAACAGAGAGATTGTAATTAAATAAATATTAAAATATATAAGAATTGAGTATTATTGCATATAATTCCTAATGTGTCACTTTTTAGTGCCACGAGGATTGCGTTAGGATTGGGGGACAACGAAGGAGTCTCCACGAAATCAATAGTGCCACATCAACTACAAAGCAAATTCTATTGACGGTGTCCCCTGGAAACGTCTACTAGTAGACGGCTAATCCTTCCAACACCGGACCAAACCAAATCAGATGGCAAAGATCAAGCCACAACGGTTCTTCTCAGAGCCAACACTGACGGTAGCGAACATAAATATCGAGGGCATCACTACAGCCAAACAAAACATCTTATCAGAATTCTGCGAGAACACGAAATGTGAGGTAATGTGCATCTAGAAAACCCACAGAGACCTAATTGCAGCGAGACCGAAAGTCTCTGGTATGAAACTGATTGCGGAGATACCACACAATAAGTATGGGAGCGCGGTATTTGTGAGAACTTAAACCATAGTCTCATCTGTGGGAACAACAAATGTACACGGTATAGAGATAACCACTGAGATCGGAAAATGCACAATAACCTCGGTATACAAGCCGCCAAACCAGCCTTTTATATTTTCACCCCCAACTAACTTCCAATCAGCTTGTATTGGGAGACACAGTTTACACTGGGACTATACAAGATTCGGACGCAAATGGAGACGCAGTAGAAGCATGGGCCGAAACGAGTGGCCTCACGTTAATCCATGATCCTAAACTTCCACCATCTTTTCGGAGTAAAGTTTGGAAAAGAGGATATAACCCGGATATCTGTTTTTCAAGTAACAGCCTCGAAGACCGATGTACCATAGTAGTATATGGCCCCATACCAAAACTCAGCATAGACGAATTGGCATAAATATCTTTTCAATTGTCAGACCATAAGCTATTCCATTCAGAAGGAGATTTAACTTCAAAAAAGCAAACTGGCAAAAATATGCAGACATGCATATTCTGAGCTGCTACGTATTGAACCAGAAGTAGAGAACTACGAAAAAGCGAGTCCAAAGAACTAATAAGAACATACGAAACCCTCTATTCCACTGACTCTTTTAGCCAAGAAACGGTTGACTGCGGAGCAGTACTACTCCCACAGCTAAGTCAAGCCAGACAGGAAAAGTGGGTTGAGACCCTGGAAAAAATGGACATGATACATAGTAGCAAAATAGCATGGAACCTTGTAAATAAACTTAGCGGTGATCCAAAAGAACATAAACCACCTTGCAAGGTTACAACAAACCAAGTCGCTGCTCAACTCCTTATCAATGGAAGAACTACGAGCCGATATAAGGACCCAAACACTAGAAGATTGGATTCGGACACAAATCACCTAGGAACTCCTTTCACACTAAAAGAACTCCAAAAGACGGTATGTACAGGTTAAAACACGGGAAAGCTGCAGGTGTGAATAAAGCATCTAGGCCAAGGTGCAAAAATTGGATTTTGCAATTTTATAACTCGTGCTAAGTCGAAGATTCACAAGGCCCGATTATTCTATCTGCTGTTTACTGTCCACCGAATAAAATAATTAAAGCTGATCATTTTACTAAATACTTTAAGATGCTTGGACACCGTTTCATTACTGCTGGAGATTTTAATGCCAAACATCATAAATGGAGTTCCAGAATCATAACCTCACGTGGATGAGAATTATTAAAAAGTATTAATGAGAATCATTTAATTCCTTTCTCTACTGGAGAGCCTACGTATTGGCCCACCAATAGACAAAAAATTCCTGATCTTATTGATTTCGCTATAGTAAAAGGAATATCACATACTTATCTCCAAATTTCTCCTTCATTTGACCTCTCGTCAGATCATTCCCCTTTCTTCATAGATCTACATAGCCAAATTCATAACTGTCCTAAATACCTAACACTATCTAATAAAACAACAAACTGGAACAGATATAGAGAAGAAATAAGAACAACCATTAACCTAAACTTGCCTCTTAAAAGTGATAGCGACATAGAAAATGCAGTTGCTCACCTAACTACAGTTATTCAGTAAGCTGCTTGGACATCTACCCCAGAACTTACTCACAAACACAACTCTGAGTCCTATCCTGCTCACATAAATTAACTTATTTGGAAAAAAGAAAACTGCGAAAGAAGTGGCAGCTCACTAGACATCAAGAAGATAAAGCAAATCTTAATAGAGCTTGCAGACTACTCAAAAGAAAACTGATCCAACATAAAGACAATGGAATCAACAAATATTTAAAGAACCTCTCACCTGCAGATTATACAAACTATTCGCTGTGGAAACTAACAAAAAAACTTAAACACAACGATTAAATGAATATGCCAATCAGGACACAAAATGGCACTTGGGCTAAAAATGACATAGATAAAGCATATACTTTCATGCACCATATCAAATGGTTCCACCTATTAGATCTATTATGAAATCGGAGATCAAAGAAATAATTAATAATCTGAAAAATAAAAAGTCACCTGGATATGATTTAATATCTAGTTTAGTACTAAAAAATCTACCCAACGAAGGCGTAAGTTTAATTACTTACATATTTAATTCAATATTAAAAACAGGTTATTTTCCACTCTAATGGAAAGTTGCTCAAATTATTCTTATTCCAAAACCTAATAAAGATCACACTGAAGTAGCTTCATATCGCCCAATTAGCTTGTTGCCTATTATATCCAAAGTATTTGAAAGGCTTTTTCTGAGAAGACTTGAGATTATTTTATATGACAGTAATGTTTTACCGAATTATCAATTTGGGTTTAGGAAACATGGTACTATCGAGCAAATTCATAGGGTGGTAAAGACTATCAGAAATTCGCTTGAACGAAAATTACTGTACTGCTGCATTTCTGGATGTCTCTCAAGCATTCGACAAAGTTTGGCATGTAGGTCTTATCTCTAAAATTAAATCCATATTTCCTCATTCCATAAGCTCACTTGTAAGATCCTACCAGACAGATCGATTCTTTTAAGTCAAAAGAGGTGGGGAAATCATTAACCTGTTTCCAATTTGTTCCGGAGTTCCACAAGGAAGCATACTAGGACCCACCCTCTACTTAATATACACATCAGATCTCCCAACGACGACCAATACAACAATCGCTACATATGCTGATGACACAGTTATCATGGCTTCAAATTCTACAGCAACTGAAGCATCCCAGGTATTACAAAACCACGTACTTAAACTAGAGAGCTGGCTTAAACTGTGGCGAGTCCAAGTTAACAGTTTATAAAATCAACACAAATAAAGTTTACTTTAAAAAAAGGTGTCGCGCCACCAGTTTCTATAAACAACACTCCACTACCAGTTAATACCGTCGTTATAATACTTAGGAATTCATTTGGATAGCAAACTTAATTGGGGTATTCACATCTGGAAGAAACACCTTCAACTCAGCTTAATCTACAGGAAAATGTATTGGTACATGAGTCGAAAATCTAATCTAAGCCTGGAGAACAAACTTCTAATATATAAATGTATTTTAAAACCGGTATGGCAATATGCAGCACAAATCTGGGGTACAGCAAGTAATACCAACATACAAAAACATCAACGATTCCAATCGAAAGTACTGCGCCAGATCTGCAATGCCCCTTGGTACATTACGAACCACAGATTACACCACGATTTACAGTTACCAAAGCAATATCTGCCGTAAACGCTGTATACAAGACCAGACTATCCTGCCATCCAAATCCGCTAGCCACGGATTTGCTCAACATTTCACACGAAAGAAGATTAAAACGACCAGACCCTTTGGACCTCTAGTAAACATGGAGAAACAGAGCATAGTGTGGTGAAATAACAAGTTTTTATTCTGGTGTTTTCTAAATCTTTTCTTGATTTTTTATGTTTATCTGTATTAATTGTTATTAATGTGTAAATTAATTGTTATATGATATATTTATATTATGTCTTACCTGGCTGCTTGACACTGGGTGGCTTCCCACTATGTTATTGTACATAAATTATACATACTGCTTATTGTTTGTAATGAGACAGATTGCAATAAACATTGGATGTTAAAAAAAATAACTCGTGCTGCAAAACCTGCGAAATTCTAAAATCATGAAGAAAATTTAAAGTAATAGCCTTGTTAAAACCAGGAAAGGACACAGAAAACCCCAGTAGCTACAGACCTATTTCGCTGTTTTGTCACTTTTTCAAATTATACGAGACTCGCCTAAATAGAAAAAATGTCGACAAGAACCTCATCCCACAACAGGGAGGATTCAGACCCGGCAAATCTTGCACCGGTCAAGTTCTCGCACTAATAGAACACATTGAAGAGGGCTTTGAAGAAAAAATTATAACAGGGTCTGCTTTCGTCGATTTGACGGCAGCCTATGACACAGTAAAAACACAAAACATTGCTCCGCAAATTATACGATACTCTCAATGACCACCATCTGGGTAAGGTCGTATATTCCTTACTGCAAAACAGACGTTTTTTCATTATGCTGGAGGGTAAAGTAAGTAGGTGGAGAGCTAACTTTTTTAGTTATATGTAATTGCTTTAGCATTTTAATTTAACTTGTCCGGAGACCTGAAGATGACCAAGAAAAGCAAAAAGTCTTGTCTTCCTCTAGGTATATGTCCAAAAGACCTTAGTGTATTTTGGTTGATAGTTGCGGTGACACTAGTTTCTATGTTAGTTTATTCTAGTATTAAATTATTTATGCGATGTGCGGTACATGGTACGCGCAACACTCTACGGTAGACGTATGTCATTGTTCAATTTGAAATTTTTCGAATGTACGTTATTATAGACTCTTTGTATTACCACTATAAACTCTTGCATTGATAGTACTATTTGCAAACAGTTGTTTTAATAAATCGATTAGAAGTTCTGGCGTACCCATTTTCCAGGTGCCTATATGCCCATTTTATGCGTTTATATTTTAGGAATGTGTTCGTATTACCTGGGACGATTCCACATTTACTTTATCCTACCTTCTTCTTCTTTACGTTACATCTCCGCGACTGAGGTTGGCAATAATCATGGCT